TGCGTATTCCGTTTGAAGAAGATTGAGATAGGCCTCCCATTTATCTCCAACAACTTTACCGCAGGTAAAACAGCGAATCGGAATAATCATCCCCCTTTAAAATGAACTGAAGTATTCAAAATGGCCTAGTTTTACTTGCCAAAGGTTGTGGGAAATTACAATACCATTTAAATAAGAGACTCACAAGAAAAGCTAACTACACGGAGCAGAGCCTTACACAGTTCACTAAGCCGCTTCATCACTTTAGGTATTTTAGAGTAATTTAACAAAATTTTAAATATTGCTTTATATTAAAATAATTCTTTTTCTGCAATTTTCAAGGATTTATTTTTTTGGTTTTTTATTAACCTACTAAGTAATAAGTTATTCTGTAGTATATAAATTACATAAATGAATTAGTTTAGAATTTCACGTCTTTTTTTCTATTTATGAAATTTGAAAACAGCATACGGTCGTAAATTAATAACAATGATGGATCTCACGAACGGTTCATATCTCATAATAATAGAAGACTAATTTTAGAATCAAGAATTGTTAAAAAATGCTTCATGTAAACAGAAAGACTTTGTGTTTCCATTGGTTAAGTGTAACAATAGTTAACTTATTTTAAAATACCATAATGCATATGAACCAAGTGTTATATTAACCTTTTAATGCCCTTAGGTCAGTACGGTCCGTTTTCATATTAACCTCATTGGTACTAGTCTTGCAATAGAAGGGAAAACAGCGAGAAAAACTTTTTGGAACACACAAAGTAATTTGGGGGTTAAAGGGAAAATTATACTATAGAATAAATATAATGCAGTTTAAATAAATTCCATTTTCTGTTCTTTTATCTGTGAGGTTGTCGTCGATTCAATAAATATTAATTTGAGCGTGCTTTTCGACATTTTATTTACAAAAAATGGCCTGTCTTTTAATAATTATTACGTGCCCTTAAGCTGACTTTGGGATTCACAGAAAGGAAGAACATTAAAGTCACGAAAGTTGACTTCTGGCTTCAAACTACCATGATCCCACTGTTTCTCATATTCGACTACTTCCACAATAATCACCTCACCTTTTCCGACTTTTGTGTTTGTCTCTTTTACATCTTTGAAACACTCTTCTGCCCCCCTCCCCTTTCAAATCCTTTTCACTTTGATGTTATTTCCACTTTGTGAAGCCTTAAGTCAACTAAAGAGCTAATGGTAACTATCAAAACGCCTACAATTTGATATAAATAAATGCTTTAATTTCTAAAACTTGGTAATTACTTTAATTCGAAGTGTGGAGATCATTGTTTGGCAAACATGTACAACAATTAGCAAGTCAGTAAGCGAAATTTATAAATTCTAGGCAAGCTGAAGAGAGGAGACAAGGTTATTTGAGACCGATTGGAATTCAGCGCAAATCCCCAAAACATCCTCTCTTTCTCTGATATCCCTCATCTCATTTTATGTATAAATTGTTATCATTAAATTGCAATGTCAATTTCAATAATATGAACAATAATTAAATATTTATAAGTAAAAACAAACTTTTACAATGTCAATCTTTAAGTTCACGTTTGGTACTCGTTTAGCAGAAAATTAACACGGTCTATTAGATTGTTGAGAACTGATCCAACTCTTTCAAGTTCCGTAGGCGCTGTTAAGCACTACAGAGAAACAAAGAGAAACTTTAAAAACAATTTATTTGAAATTAAAGTAATGATTAAACAGGGCGAAAACCAAACTAAGTGAAGTTTAAAGTGCTTGAAATCCATGTGTTGCCTCAGTACCTATACATATTAAATGAAAAAAGGAAAGCGCGAAAGTTTCGGCGTTTAAATAAATTTTTTTAATTAACACCTTGTCATAAAGATCTAAACTAGTTGATAGATTTCAAACGCATATAATTTCCAATAATTGCTGAAAACTGAGGCTGTTGGCACCATATCGATTTAGCCAATCCGTCTTCCTCATGACACATCTGTATATCCGGCGATAAAAGTTACTAAGCTGTCTTAGAAATGAGCCGCCCATCTTGTTTGTGGTTCGTTCTCAATTTTATAAGACTATTGCATCCTGTCGTAAATTTGGACCTCAAAATATCCTTGAAACTCCCATCTGGGGATGTCCGTTATGACGAGATTATGCGGACACCCAAAGTGTAGTCCTTTACATCTAACCTCAATAGACGTTTTCAGGCACTCTTCGAATTCTACCGCTCAATAGCTGGACAGAATGTTTACCGCTATACTTGAAAATACAATTCGAACCCTTTAAAGAAAGCTTTAACACAACTAAACATAGGCAGAGAGGAGATGACTCCCTTGCAGTTGACTATAGTTATCTAGAAATTGGAGTTCACTAGATGAGTACTGGGAGAAGTGCAAGGTGTAGATATTTCGAATAAGGAACTTACCCGTATGACAAGTCTGAGCAATGGGAAACCACCAACAAATACGAACCTTAAGCAGGCCTCATAGCTATTACCAATAAACTGACTCAAAATTTGCGCACAATCGATCCCACGACCACTTGGAACAAAATTACGAAATTCCTTAAGGTAACGCACTCCTCCGTGGTTAGTTAAAATAGCCCATTGTTGGAAAGTTCTCTTAGGAATGTGATTCTCAAGAAGACATCTCATTAAACACTCCATATATCGCTTGCACCTTCTAGAATCAACGAAGTCAGCATCGGGCATCTAAAATGGGAAAGACTAAATAGAGTATGCTTTTAAGTAAATTAATAATTCTGTACAAAATCGAAAAATACTGATGATACTAATGACTTGTAGGCTGCACGCAATACCCATGCTCTCAGCCTCGGTTCATATGATAAACTCCGCTTTGGGACGACTTTAATTTTTTGTGATGGGGTGTGCGATAGATTTACATCCACGTGGTGCACCCTGGGCAACGTATACTCATACCCCACTGTATGTCATATTCGATTTCTTCCACAGTACTCACCTCACCTTTCATCTACCTTCGTGTCTGTCTCTTTTAATTCTTTACAACACTCTTCTGTTCCCCCCCCCCCTCCTCTCTCTCTCTCTCCCTCTCTCTGTGAGGCCTGAAGTCAACCAAAGGGCTAATTATAACTATCATACAGCCTGCCATTTGATATAAATTTTTCGTGATTGAGACCAAACAACTCCCTTGATGTCTCCTGTTTCATCTGTTTTTGTCGGATGAAAGCCGGTTTGGTCCAATTTAACAATTTGTGTTTTTTCCCCTTCTGCCAAAATATCAACTACAACTAAAATCTACCCCTCTCACCCACCCCCCCCCATCCTCCACCACCTACATCATCAACTACTAACAAGAATCTTTACGCCAAATATTTGACAACTTAATAAATAAATTTAATTCTGCATTTAAAATTACTATATGATGAAAATAATAGTTTTGGCTAATAAAAACTGATCGATATCTAAATGAATTTTGTGTGGGAAGATATCTGACTTAAAACTGCCTAGATTTAAAGCCATTGGCAAGAAACGGGATAGAAACTCAACTGAAAAGTGAAAAAAAATTATTTTTCACTGAAATAATTGTCTTAATAGTTTTTTGGCCTTGATTGGACAAGTACGTAGAGCCGATAAAGAAGGGTATGTCACAGCCGCCTCATTGGAACATACTCCAATCATTTGGAGTATGTGAAGTGACCGCGCTGAGGAGAGTAACTTAATCGTCTCTCAAGGTGACAATCAATTGGATGATTTTTTACTTTTTTCTCAACTTGAAATTTCCTCTCGGTATTCTCCTTTACATGTGGTCATGGAATCTCTAATACCTCACCTGTCGTGATCGCCTGCTGAGGGCGTTCATGGAACCTACGAACCGCATATGCACTCTCTTTCAACATACGCACTTCGTGTAAGTTACACCTATCCGTTGCCCAAACCCTTTTCCTTTCTGATAGCAAAATAGTTGTGAGTAAACCGAATCTATTAAGAATTAGCGATTAACTTTGTGTATGAAAGGGCAAGTAATAAGTGACCGCGCTACCAATTCTGTACACGGCAGGATGAATGCCGCGTAGACAGCTGCAGCAAAATATGGCATCGCGCACCCAATTCTAAAGTAAGAGATGGAACAATAGTAGTCAACTTATCGTTATTGAATAAGTGTGTGTTTTAAATGCTCGGTGCTCTTGAACAGTATGAAACTCATTTGCTCTATAGAATCATTACACTGGAGTACTTCCTACTTTAATTGAAATATGGACTCTAATGCCTTTTTCTGTAATAACTATTAAGAATAAATTCGTCTAAGAAAATGTACATGAAGAGTGTTCCAAAAACGATATGCAAACTTAAAAAAATTGAAGGCACAACATGAGGGAGAATTCTGTTTCCCTTTTCATACTGCCCCAAAGAAGTTTGACGCTTATTTCATAGTTATGCTGATAATTGTAATTCTCAAACCCCATTTCTTATTGTTAGCAAAAAAAATATTTTGACTGTAATAGCTGACCTCGATAATGCCATTAGGCCTCAACTCAGATTTGAGTCGACTCAAATTCCAAAGAATGCAAAGCACAATGACCTCAACTGGCCCTTTAGTTACTATTATGCACTTGATGTTAGCATGCGAGGAAGGAGAATTGCTTCTCTAGATCTTTAGGAACGAACTGCATTGGCGAGCAATCGCTTTTTCCTCAATTGTATGGTATTTGGTGTGAGTTGTGTGTGTGTGTGTGCGCACAGTTAATTTTTGGCTGATTTGACCAAATATTTATTTGTTTATTTGTATTGAATGGTAGGCATTTTGATAGTTGCCATTAGCCCATTAGTTGACTTCAGGCTTCACAGAGAGGAAGGAACACCGAAGTGAATAAAAGTCGAGCGGGTTTGGAAGGGAGGGGGGCTGGAAACAGAGGAGAGACAGACAGACACAAAGGTAGAAAAAACTTGAGGAGAGTACTGTGGAAGTAGTTGAATATGACGTACAGTGGGGTATGAGTATACGTTGGCCAGGGTACACCACATGAAGGTAAGTCTATCGTGCACCCCTGCTATTATGATTAGCTTGAAAAAAGGCTATAGGAGAAATCGCCCTCGTCTGGGCGAATCACAATGTCTTCAGATCCTCCAGTGGAATGCTTGAGGGATGTCAAAGGACAAAAAGATCCAAGTACAGAAAATCCAACAAACCTATGATGTAGACATTTTCACAAACTGAAGTACTACCACTTCCCAGGTTACACCCTGTAGATGCCAAACTGAAGTACTACCAATTCCCAGGTTACACCCTGTACAAATCTACCTAAATACCGGCAAGTTGCAAGTGGAATTCTAATTCCTACCTAAATACCGGCAAGTTGCAAGTGGAATTCTAATTGGGGCAAAAGAAGGCCTCACCTCACACTACGATCTAATCATGGGTATGGACTCGACGTAAGACATATGTGAAATAATCAGATTAAATATTTGGAAATGTCAAAACCACTTCAAGGTATATGCAGTCTATAATCCAAAACCAGAATTGTCCCAACTTTGACTTTCTGAACAACTCACACATAACTGTAGTATTGGGAGACTTCAACGCCCATTCCACCAGATGGGGCTACAAGGATACAAACATAGCTGGAAAGGGAATCGAAGACATGCTAAACAGCGACCCTCTGAAACTTATTTACAACAATGAGGATCTGACTACAAATTTGCACTACAATAGAACCAGAACAACTCCTGACTTACTCCTGGCTTCAAGCGACATCAGTACGCATATTAGCCGCAAAATAATTGACGATCCTGGTTCTGGTCACACTCCGCAGAATAATTAACGATCCTGGTTCTGGTCACAAACCAGTCTTTGCTAGTATCACCATCGGCAGCAAAAGCATGACAAGGAAAGTGCCAACTAAGCTATCATGGAAATTCAAGAAGGCTGACTGGCCCAGATTCACAAACCTTTTAGAGAATGAACATCACACAAGTCCCCTCAACTTCAACCAACATCCTGACAAACTTTGCAATGATATCACGAATGTCATGATCAAATATGCAAAGAAAACTATTCCCTGAGGCAGGACTAAACATTATAGATTGTTTTGGCCTGAACACTTTGAGGATCAGACTGGAAGAACGGAAAACGTACAAGCCTGGAGATGACAATCAGCTGTCCTAAGGCAAGCCATCTTACAAGCTACACGGATTTCCTTCGACAAGTTAATCTCAAATATCAACTATCAAAGTGATAGCCAACGAACTTTAAAATTCCTGGGTAACCTCCAAAACAACATCGACAAGTTCATCTCAAATATCAACTATCAAAGTGATAGAAAAGTTAATCTCAAATATCAACTATCAAAGTGATAGCCAACGAACTTTAAAATTCCTGGGTAACCTCCAAAACAACAAGAAAAGTCCCAAGAAAGAACCAATACGTTGAAAAACAAACTGCTTACCACCGACACCGAAATAGCTAACTACTTTGCGAGGTTCTATTCCCACAAGCAAAAGAAAAACCCTTTTGTCAGAAAATCCTCAAGAGATTTAAGGATACAAGTATGAAAGTTGGGTGAAATTAAGTAAGACATAGCAACACCAAATAATCTACTAACTAAATCATTCAGACCTTGCGAACTTTATGCTGCGACAAAGGAGCTCAAGTGCAAGAAGTCTCCTGGCGAAGTCGGTATTCATCCTGAATTTCTAATTAGAATGGGACCAACAGTCAAGAAAACCATGCTGACTCTTTTCAACAAAATCTGGGAGACCAGTCTCGTACCTAACCAATGGAAAGTTGCCATAGTAATACCAGTACTAAAAAAGGGCGTTGCCAAAATAATGCTAGTACTGAAAAAGGGCAAAGACCCTAGCAACTTTGACAACTATAGGAAAATGGCAAGGACCCTAGCAACTTTGACAACTATAGCCCTATCTAGACCTTAGCAACTTTGACAACTATAGGCCTATCTCCCTCGCGAGCTGCTATAGTAATAACAGTACTAAAAAAGGGCAAAGACCCTAGCAATGACTATAGGCCTATCTCCCTCACAAGCGTGCTGGCTAAACATAAAGGCCTATCTCCCTCACAAGCGTGCTGGCTAAACTTATCCTCACAAGTGTGCTGGCTAAACTTATGGAAAGAATGGTTTAAGGAGGCACACCTGGTTCCTTGAGACTAACAATATTCTTAGGTGTGAACACCTGGCTTAACTTATGGAAGGAATGGTTAACAGGAGGCTGACCTGGTTCCTTGAGACCAACAATATCCTAGGGTGAACAAGCAGGTTTTAGGCCACAAAGATCGACGAACCAACACTTTCTTCCAACACATCAAAGATGCCCTTAATGCAAAAAATACCCTTACTCTCCCAACACACCAAAGATGCCCTTGATGCAAGAACTATTTTTAGGTCACAATGATCAACGAACCAACAAGTAGCCACTTTCTCCCAACATTGATGCAAGAAATACCCTTACGGCTCAGTCAGCATATGACTTAGTATGGAAAGAGAAGCTAATTCTAAACCAGCATATGACTTAGTATGGAAAGAGAAGCTAATTCTAAATGGCAAGATTGGTATTAAGCATAACATGCTAAACTGGATAAAACATATGAACAAAGATCGTGTAAAGTCAGATATGGAAATGCTCCATCATTAAAGTCAGATACGGAAATGCTCTATCAAAATCCAATCTTTTACAAACGGGCCTTCCACAGGGAGCTGTCACAAGCTGCACTCGGGCTTCACAGGGAGCTGTCACAAGCAGCACCCTTTTCAATTTCTTTATCAATGACATGGCCGAATTGGTACAGACAGTCACGGGCATCAAGTGCTCACTTCATGCAGATGATCTTGTTCTATGGTATTACGTGAAAACTTTATGCAGATGATCTTGTTCTATGGTATTCCGCCCCCACTTCATGCAGATGATCTTGTTCTATGGTATTTCGCCCCTTAAAAAACGCTTAGAAGAGGACGGAAAGTGTCCTAAATTGTGCAC